TTTGATCAAGATTGTTGGTCCATCAGAAAAAAACTGAGAAGCCTTTCAAATTTGCTGGAAAAATTTCCCCAAAACCCAAATATACGTGGTCGTTTCTTCTAAACAAGAAAACTTCAAAAATAAAGAAATTAATAGTAAATGGTACACCAATATAGATTCCCTTTTAAATAACAACAACCAGTCTTACCTGATCGACAGCGATGAAACTCTAACAGCAAGGCAATTAGGACAAATCAACAAAAATATACAAACATCATTCATATCAACTTGGAAAAGTGAATTACATAATGACAATCGATCAAAACAAAATGAAAAAAATAAATTAAGAACATACAGACAATTAAAAAAACAATTTTGCTTTCGAAACATACCTTGTTACCCTGAAAAACATTGAGATGCGCGAAAATTTAACTAAATTCCGCCTAAGTGACCATAACTTGAAAATTGAAACTGGCAGACACAATGGATTACCCCTTGCTAATAGATTATGCAACCTTTGTGATCAAAATGAAGTAGAAGATGAGTATCACATCATGATGTCATGTAAAAGATATACCCCCGAAAAAAATGTCCTATTTGAAATGGCAAAAACCAAAATTCAAAACTTTAAAAATTTGCCACCAAAGACACAATTCATAGCCTTGCTAAACAACAGTGGCCTAACACTCCCCGTAGTAAGGTACCTAATGAAATAAGACAGCAACCCCAGTGACAACCTTCTCTCACTATTTGAGTTTTGCATTCTGTTTTCTATCTATCGTAGTATCATATTTTTATACTTGCTATTATCTGTAATGTATTAGCTTAGATTGTTTTTTTTGTTTTGTTTTTTTTATCTATTTACTGTTTTGTAACCTTTTATTCCTTTTTAAACTTTTGTAACCATTGCCAATCCCTTCGGGGAATGTGTAAGTGTTAATAAAATTATTATAATTATTATTATTATTATTATTAATACGTTAGAATGATATAACTAAATGTTTTATAGTACACAGCAAGTGTACTATAAATTTACGAACTACAGTGCGACTGCAGGATGAACGAAATCTCATTTCACTAGAATGGACAAACTTCTTCATGAACACAGTTGAATGGTGCAGTGGCAATGTATGTTCGTTGTGCTGGACGTTGTCTTTAAAACTGACTTATTCAAAATGTATGTTGTCTATATATTTTCAATAGCCTGTTACAAGTAAGGCAAGTGAGTTCCAATTTAGTTGTCTGAATGGCACTGTGTCTTATGATGATGTATTAACTCTCAATCATCCAGATGATTGGATGGTCGGTAGGTGACCATGGTCACATACACACCATGTCGGTTTGGAAAGGCTTGATTTTATAAATGAAAATATATGTTCAGTAACATGCTCAGTAGTGTAAAATTTGAAGTTATCTCCCATAATGCAATGCATATATGTGCAGTAACATGCTCAGTAGTAAAAAAAATTGAATTCAGCTCAACCTTCCTAAAAATAAATGTGTTTATGGTATGTACAATGAAATTTTCTATTTTTATTTATTTCAGAACCACCAGAAGTTGTAACTGAGAAAAGAGGAAATGTATTTTTAATTGGAATTAACCGACCTTATGCTAAAAATGCGGTTAGCATCTTCACAGGTGAACAGTTACTTGAAGCTTTCCAGGAATTTGAAAAGGACAAGAGTTCCTTAGTGGCTGTGTTTTACGGAGTAGGTAAGGCTGTCAGGATTTGTTAGTGTTCAATTCGCATTTGTGAATATGAATTGGATTATTTGCATAATTATTTCATTGAAGGATGTGTTCTGAAGAATAAGTAAGGCAAGCGGAATTTGTTAGTGTTTCGTTCACATTTGTGAATATTAAGTGGCTAATTTGCATAATTACTTCATAGCTGTGTTCTAGGTAATAGTTGAGGTTGGCAGGATTTATTAGTGTTCGGTGCATATTTGTGAATATGAATTGGGTTATTTGCATAATTATTTCATTGAAGGATGTGTTCTGAAGAATAAGTAAGGCAAGCGGAATTTGTTAGTGTTTCGTTCACATTTGTGAATATTAAGTGACTAATTAGCATAATTACTTCATAGCTGTGTTCTAGGTAATAGTTGAGGTTGGCAGGATTTATTAGTGTTCGGTGCATATTTGTGAATATGAATTGGGTTATTTGCATAATTATTTCATTGAAGGATGTGTTCTGAAGAATAAGTAAGGCAAGTGGAATTTTTTAGTGTTTCGTTCACATTTGTGAATATTAAGTGAGTGGCTTATACCGCTTATTTGCATAATTACTTTCTTGATGGCTGTGTTAATTAAGTGTAGGTAAGGCTAGTAGTATTTATTTGGATAGTTCATGTCACAGCTGTGTTCTAGGTAATAGTTGAGGTTGGCAGGATTTATTATTGTTTATCCATATTTGTGAATATAATATTATTTGCATAATAACGACATTGGTGGTTGTGTTCTACAGAGTAGGTGAGGCTAGCAGGATTTATCAGTGTTTTATTCACATTTGTGAATATTAAGTGGCTTGTTTGCATAATTACTTTCTTGATGGCTGTGTTAATTAAGTGTAGGTAAGGCTAGCAGGATTTATTTGGATAGTTCATGTCACAGCTGTGTTCTAGATAATAATTGAGGTTGGCAGGATTTATTATTGTTCGTCCATATTTGTGAATATAAATTGGCTTATTTGCGTAATCACTTCCTTGATGGCTGTGTTCTACTGGATAGGTAAGGCTAGCAGGATGTATTAGTGTTTCATTCACACTTTTGAATATTAAGTGGCTTATTTGCATAATTACTTACTTGATAGTTGTTAATTTTAAAGTGTAGGTAAGGCTAGCAGGATTTATTAGTGTTTCATTCACATTTGTGAATATTAAGTGGCTTGTTTGCATAATTACTTTCTTGATGATTGTGTTAATTCTAAAGTGTAGGTGTCACAAGGCTTGTTTTCAGTTAATTAATAATGGTAGCCAAATGAGGACCAAAAAGACCTTGCCTTGTGTTGTGGGTTCTTTACCCATTATTGGGGTGACCAGGTTTGGAAATGTACACGAATTCAACACACACGCTCGCAATGACAACACGAAGATGCATTAACTTTCAACTCAATATTTAATAACACAACTATAAATAAAAGGGGAACAATACAAAGTGGGCATATACGGAACAACTGAACAACAGGCTTCTTGGCAATGTGGTTTAGAGTAATGCGTCAGTTCCTAGGAAATGTACTCAGCTCGCAGAACCATTGGTGACATCCACTAGAAGACTGCATCCATGGCGATTTCTTAACAAAGGATAATAGAGCCGGGCCTTCCGACGTACGAATCATGTGCACACTCAGCAACTGTGTGGCAGGAAAGACGTTGACAATAGATTTTCCATTCATTAAATACCATGCATGAATTAACATAATGGACAATTAGCATGTAGATCCCTTTCAGTAAGCAATTAGTTGGTTCGCTGACATTGGTGGCGTCCTTATTACTCCACTTAAAATTAGCAGACGTACATGCATTTCACCTTGAGTGGGGAATCGACGTCCCACATACTCAACACAATTCGTTGCTGGGATTATTCTGCCCAGGTTATATTTATCATTGCAAATTTGTATGCTTCATGAAATTAATTTGATAATAATTACATTACTATGATCTGAAATTACTTGTGTATTTTGGAACCTTGTGACAGTAGGTGAGGCTAGCAGGATTTATTAGTGTTTCACATTCACATTTGTGAATATTAAGTGGCTTATTTGCATAATTACTGCGTTGATGGCTGTGTTTTACCGAGTAGGTAAAGCTAGTATGATTTATTAGTGTTTTGTTCACATTTGTGAATTTTAAGTGACTCATTTACATAGTCACTACATTTGTGTCTGTGTTCTACAGAGTAGGTAAGGCTGGCAGGATTTATTAGTATTTTGTTCACATTTTTGAAAAATTAAGTGGCTTATAACTACTGACATTGTATGGTTGTAATAGGTATTTATTAGTGTTTGGTTCATATTTGTGAATATTAAGTTTCCCATTTGCATAATTAGTTCTATTGCTGTGTTCTGTGATTTGTCTATTTTGAGTGGCTTTTTTTAATTGAGGTTTACTAATAGCTATGATTTTGGTTGAGGTCTCTGCTATGTGCTTGTGCCAGGATAGCCCTGTCATGAAGTTCCAAAAATATAATATTGTTGCTGTGGCAAAATGTCGTGTGAAATACCGGTGCATGATTAGAAAAGTCAGGAAAGACAACGGTGGCATATTCTATGTCTAAAACTGTTGCTTAGCTAGTACAAAAATATATTTAAAAAAGATAAGTTTAATTAAGTTATGTAAGGTTGCTTCGTTTGATTTCATTTTATATGGACAATAACATATATTTTTTATTATTGTTGTTCAATACTTCAAATCGAATTATGATTTATCATAAACTAAATATGTTGTATTTGCAGGACACATACATATTCATAAGATGTCAATTCAAAACCAATAATACACATACTACATTTGTATGAACTGATTTTTTGTACATATCAAAACAATCAGTGCATACGACATCCATATTAGAGAATTCCAATGTTTCTCAGAACCAAAACTCAGATGTATGTTACAAGCACAACATTTTCATGTCATGATCAATCATATTATCACCGTAAAGCCATAAGTTACAGCGTGTCGTAATTTTTCGGTATTTTATGGGGTATTTTCATTCTACCCATATTAGGAAATGCGAATTCCAAATATGGAATCATTACGCATGTAAGCGTGCTCTAATAATAAAAACAAACATGGCTGCCACCAGAGTTTGACCGGACTCCACATAAAGAAGTTCGCTGAATCTGTTCTAAACATTGTGGATTTCAACATTCCCATGATGTATCCTTGGAAGGGAAAGATGTATAATAATGAGATTATTTCGAGAATACCTCAAAGTATGCACTCAGACAGTATGCCGGGCATTGACCTTCGCTGCGCGTCGTTCGATATTCCAGCTGTACTGTCTTTGTGTATAATTTGAGGTTATTATGATGGTAAAAGTTGCATGCAAAACCATTTTTATTTTCCACTTGTATGATTCAGGTATGTCTTCTTTCAGGAAATTGTTTCTGTTCGGGCTTTGATCTGAAATTTTTATCCAAGGCACCAACGGACATGAGAAGAGACATAATATATGCACCAATGGTGAGCATCTCTTAGACTTAAAACTTAAAAACACAGACAACATAAATGGCACTTATGTTCCTGGTATTATGTGTGGCAACTGAATCAAAGATGAATAAATGCATGGCAGCCATTGTGCATTGATTTTTATTGTACGCTCCAAAAGAACCAGCTCACATGCACAGTAGAGAATTTTATTGAAATTTCCTCAAACAGAACTCAGATGTGTGATACAATTGCTTCTCACAAAATCATATGTTATTACTATGATAACATTTTCATCACCCGATTTTCTCGCCCAAATTTGTTTGCAATTTTTCCCTATATCTTTCAATATTATTGGAATTGAATCCTAATTTTGGAACCAACAGACAAAATTTGAGTAAATTTTCAGTTTTTTCTCTCAAAAAATTTGGCTATTTTTGTCCCAATCTTCTGAAGGAGATTACAGGCTATAAACATGACTATTTTATGCATTCGTGATGAAAAGAGGGAACTTGTGGTGAAAGAGTTAAACACTCCTTGTATGAATCAGCTTATCATCTGATACCAGATGATAATGTCATTTCATTATGTATTTTCTGTCACTTTAGGGACCATCGAAGATTAGAATCAGTAAACCAATAATTGGAGCCATAAATGGGTATGCTGTGGCAGGTGGTTTGGAGCTAGCCCTCGTGTGTGATCTTAGAGTTATGGAGGAAAGTGCAATCATTGGTATCTTCTGTCGAAGATTTGGTAAATATAAACTGTTGAATGTTACATGTCAAAGTAAATTTGTATATTTCAATGCTTACTTCAATGGCCTGAGCTGCATTTTTTGGTTTATTTTTTTTTTTTATTTATTAGTTGATTTATTCTTTTTACTTATGTCATGCTGAGCCAATATTATCTTTAGTACCATTATAAAATGTGCAGCTATAAAAGTAAAAAAAACAGTACATACATGTATAAGTAATTATGCAAATAAGCCACTTAATATTCACAAAAAACAATTTATTTGTCCATTCTCTGTTTCCTCTATTAGTATAAAAAAAAACACATTTTGGCTTAATATTATGTGAAATAAAATTTGCACATGCTTAGTTTTTTAGCCTAGTTATTATACAAGTACACATAATCCCCAAATGACATTTCTTTATTAAAACATATGACATATTAAGATAGAAGCCTACTCATAAATGAAAATACCCAGAATTTATTCATTTTGCAATGAATTGTACTCTAAAGATATTGACCTATTATGCCATATCTCAAATTGTAGACTGGTGATATAGTGTTAATGAGTACAGTTTTCATTGTCCTTAATTATTTTTAAAATCTAAATTTTAGAAAAGTATTAAAAATGCAATTTTTGATAAATATTTGGACACGTTTCCTAAAGCACATAACAGTAATACACAAAATAACGTTATTTCATTATACCATGGGACATAGTTACGTGATTGTACATAATAAACTAATGAACATTGTCATGCGATTTATGACCGTTTTCAAAAATTATGAATAGACTTCTACCTGAAGACCGTATACTCACCTCAGACACTTACATAAGCACACATATAGTACTGATGAACCAAATACATCACCATTGCAATTTCAATTAATTACACCTAACGAACAATTCATCAAGTTGTGATATTATTTCCCATAATTCCATGATGCAATCCCTGGGATTGAAAGGTGTCCTTTCAATTGATTCAACATTATTGTGACCTCTTTATTCCACAATAGGTGTGCCATTACTTGATGGTGGCACTGTCAGACTGCCACAGCTTATTGGTTTATCAAGAGCTTTGGATCTGATTCTGACCGGCCGCCCAGTGACAGCCAAGGAAGCGCTTGAGTTTGGTATTGCCAATCGAGTTGTACCAGATGGCACAGGTAGGGTGTGCACTATCATAAAACATATTTATTTCATGTCATTAAAGTTTGTCAACAAAGTAAAAATCAATATTTTGTTATCAAATATTCTTCCTAATTTGTCATTACTCACCAGAGTGGGTGGTGTATTCATTGGTTGTACTTACTACAGAGGGTGCTCTATATTCTGAGTTGTGTGGTCAGTACTTACTACAGAGGGTGCTCTATATTCTGAGTTGTGTGGTCAGTTCTCACTACAGAGGGTGCTCTATATTCTGAGTTGTGTGGTCAGTTCTCACTACAGAGGGTGCTCTATATTCTGAGTTGTGGTCAGTTCTCACTACAGAGGGCGCTCTATATTCTGAGTTGTGTGGTCAGTTCTCACTACAGAGGGCGCTCTATATTCTGAGTTGTGTGGTCAGTTCTCACTACAGAGGGTGCTCTATATTCTGGGTTGTGCAGTCAGATCTCACTACAGAGGGCGCTCTATATTCTAGGTTGTGCAGTCAGATCTCACTACAGAGGGCGCTCTATATTCTAGGTTGTGCAGTCAGTTCTCACTACAGAGGGCGCTCTATATTCTGGGATGTGCAGTCAGAACTCACTACAGAGGGCGCTCTATATTCTGGGTTTTGCAGTCAGTTCTCACTACAGAGGGCGCTCTATATTCTGGGTTGTGCAGTCAGATCTCACTACAGAGGGTGCTCTATCCTCGGGGCGGACATCCGGGCATTTTCACCGCCTGGCAACCCGTGGCGGTGAAAACAAAGGCCCATAACTCGCAGAAAACGGTACTTTGGGATGATTGTTGAGACTCCTCTGAACAGTGCAACAAGCTTAGCCCTACGTGTGTAACATATATAAATTTGGTTGTTCGGAATTACTTCAAAGTTGAGTTTGTGTTGTTTTCTCGAATTTTCACCGGCTCGACCGGCGTTCCACAGCAGCGTGCACAGAGCCCATAGAAATGCATGGTACAGTGGTGCGCGTCTTAGCAACGTGGAACGTCTGTGACGTAGCTCCGCCCCGAGGATATTCTGGGTTGTGCAATCAGATCTCACTACTGAGGGCGCTCTATATTCTGGATTGTGCAGTCAGTTCTCACTACAGAGGGCGCTCTATAGTCTGAGCTGTGTATATCCTCGGGGGGGCGGACATCCGGGCATTTTCACCGCCTGGCAACCCGCGGCGGTGAAAACAAAGGCCCAAAACTCGCAGAAAACGGTACTTTGGGGTGATTGTTGAGACTCTTCTGAACAGTGCAACAAGATTAGCCCTATGTGTGTAACATATATAAATTTGATTGTTCGGGATTACTTCAAAGTTGAGTTTGTATTGTTTTCTCGAATTTTCACCGGCTCGGCTAGCTACAGAACTGCAGCTACGGCTCGGACGGCGTTCCACAGCAGCGCGCACAGAGCCCATAGAAATGCATGGTACGTAGCTCCGCCCCCGAGGATACCGATAAATACCGTATTTATCCGGGTATAAGCCCAGGGTCCTGAACATGGAAAATTGCCAAAAAGAAGGGGTGGGCGTTTGCCAGGAGATCCCTGGCAAAAATTAAACGAAAATTCGCAAAAATTGACAACGCGCAGATCGAACGGCAACGGAAATAAATGAACAATATGCAACACTAGAAGTAAAACAAAAATAATGTATTGCTTATAATGTGACAAATAAACCAGAAATAATAAAAATCGACAGTGAGGAATCATTTGAATTATGATTTTCCTGCCGACAAACACGCCCAATACGCGTGAACTCAAAATGAATTAAAATGTCAGAGGTTAAACTGCGTAAAATGATTTCCGGTCTCGACAAATTACGAATCAACCATCATACAAGATCAATAGTAATTTACACAGTAAAAATTATAAAAATTCATAGCTGTTTGAAAAAAACTTCTCAGATCTTTATTTGTACGTTCATTGCCATCTTTGTCAAACTCAAAACCCTCAAATGTCCAAGTCGGCGTCACTGTAGCAGTCGAACAAAATCCCTACAACTTATTCCTGAAGTTCGTCGATATCGTCCCACACAATTTGGACTTAGCACTTTTAAAACACGTATTTCGCAGTCTGTCAGCTTGGCACTTTTCATTCATGTCTAATCATAATAAAGAGACAAAAAAAATGGAGTCGCTCTGCTGCGATGTGATGGCACACGATGCTTTTTACAGTCTAGCAATCATCTTTGACCTTTATGCATCTGCTTTACTGATTGGCTAAGAATGACATCACTACTAGTATTTCATCATAAAGGTCAAATCGTGACATTGCTTTCTTATCAGACTCGACGCTTATCAATCACGGTGAAAGTTATCATTCAGCAATTTTCGGCGTTTGGAATGTCTCACTATATGGATATCACGGTGGACTTGAAATAGAAAGTTTTTTTTTAACGACAGAAGAATAGTTTTCATGACAGAAATGCAATAGCGGTGATAAAAGATGGTAAAAAAGTTGTCAGTCTTCGGCGTGACATTGCAAAATTGCTGACCCCAGTTATGGATTCGCAAGCTGCTACAAAATATTTATAAAGCAAAAATAACGTGATTTCAACCATTCTCCCTGGTACGGGTGTTGCTACAATATTGCAACATTGTTTTCATTGTCGACAACGCAAAAGCCGAACGAGTGAGACACATGCTTAGCGGTTCTTCTTATACAATTTGCTTGAATCGTTTCTAAGGAAGCACAAACCAAACGGTCGTCCATTTTTAGGGCCACGACACATTTTAAAAAGAGAACTACCGTTTCTGCTTTAATATTTTTTATAGACTTGCTGACTGTTATGATTTTGAACAAAATCAGCAGTGAACGAGCTGCCCTGAAGGCAGAAAGCTGTCACAGCTATTTTGCTTTCACCCCTTGTTTTACGCAATTAAGTATCACGACAGACTTCAAGAAAGTCAACTGTTAATACAACCACAGTCAATGAATAGAAAATAGTTTTTTGTTTTGTGTAGAAAAAGACCCCCTGGGCGTGTGCCCGGATATGACCTCAACTTCTTTATTGTGTCAAAAGTGGGGGGGGCGCTTGTCCAGGCATGGCCTCTTACCCGGATAAGTATGGTACAAAGAAAAACTCCCGCACAATTAGATTGATATAGATTCTGAAATCTTCACCAATTTTAGTTTGTATGAAAGCAAAATTGATTATATAGATCTTAATGATTTTTGATGTAGTGGCTGGGAGTGTGACATTCAAGCAGGAGGGACGTCACCTGCGCATGCGCGGGAATTGAGTCCCAAGCGATGATAACAACACGTGCTAAAAACACAAAGGCTCATGGGTAGATGCTTGTTTGTAAACAATGACACGCTATGGCCATCTGACGCATGCGTAAGTGACGACTCCCCCGCTTCAAGTCTGTTTAAGCCGATATCAAATGTTGCACTACTGAACATGTTACTACATATATATGCAAAGCATTATGGGAGATTACTTCCCATCATATATCATGGAAAACTAAATCACCATGGAAATGCCGTAAATTACATGTAAATTTGAAATTTCCCCCAATTACAATTAATGTCAATAATAGTTTCTGACTTTTTGTTTTGTTTTTCATTTTCTGTATTAATAATAATAATAATAATGAAGAGTATTTATATTGTGCTTAACCTGAATTAGCTCTAAGCGCATAACAAAAAAAAATGGCATGAACCTGTAATAATGAAAGTACATTACATGATAAACATGGCATATAGTCTTCAATTCAGCTACAACTTCCTTAAATTGTTGTTCATTTTGTTTATTTCATTTCCTTAACAAACATTAGAACAATTAAAGGGGAACCGATACTATAAATAGGGGCAAGATGGCCATCGTATTTTGCATGCTAATCTGAACCAAGCCACTCACATCGTGGTAGGAGCTCCGTTAAATGTACCATTTACTATGTTTAGAGATCAAGCTGTGATTCCAAATACATTTCTACGAGGGCATGAATATGTACGCTAGCGATTACACTCATCTGGTTGGCTTTTTGATATGTAAATGTTGTTGTTTTCGGTCGAAATGTGCCACGACAAGTAAAAATCATGGGTTTAAAATGGCGACTAATGTATGCAAAATGCCTGTCAATCACAGTTTTAGTATGCGAGCATAACAGGTTTAGTTTACTTAGTGGACAGAGGCGGAGTTAATTAATTACCCATGAGCACGTGGTGCAATCCATGGGATTGAGCGGTTCCCCTTTAAACAGTTATGATGTCATGGATGGATCAAAATATGATGTTTATAATTATAGTAACTTTCTTAACATAGTAAAAAAAACTAAATATTGATTTAAAAAAATTTATATTGTCCAGAAATGATAAATATATAAATATAGATAAAACTATTTTAGAAAATATCACTTTCATTGATATAAAAATGCAATGTGTGATACCCATGATATATAATATAAGAACTTTGCATCATTGTTTAACAAATTAATATGTGGATCTAAGGCTTAAATTGGCATACAGGGCTCTATACTCAAACAGCCTTATCTCAGATTAAACTATTCTTTGCATCTGTTCCTTTCTTTATGGCTTTATATTCTGAACCATGTATTGTTTGTTTTTTTCAGCTCTGGAAGAGGCCATTAAGCTAGCCAATCAGATTGCATCTTTCCCGCAGAAATGCATGAAGGCCGATAGAAGATCAGCTTATTACTCGTGTTATGATTCAACATCCTTAGAAGATGCCATGCGATATGAACACAACAATGGCAAACCAATTATAGCTAAAGAGTCAGTGGCGGGGGCTTCTAAGTTTGTCAGTGGAGTTGGAAGATCTGGCTCATTTGATGAATTTAAAGCAAAACTTTAAATTACATTCATCTAGTAACAAGGATGAAATTTTAGATTTTTTGCAATACCAGTATTCACTTTTGGTTTTGAAAATCATGGATATAATTTGTGGAATTATAGGTTTGGTCATGTGACCCATTTCACACATGCTCTTTGTGTTTATGCTTATTGTAAACTGATCACTTGTATTCATACGCAGATTGTAATTTCTTTACATGTATTCATACGCAGAATGTAATTTCTTTACATGTATTCATACGCAGATTGTAATTTCTTTACATGTATTCATACACAGATTGTAATTTCTTTACTTGTATTCATACGCAGATTGTAATTTCTTTACATTTATTCATACGCAGATTGTAATTTCTTTACATGTATTCATACGCAGAATGTAATTTTTAGGGGCCCAAGCCCAAAGGGCGAGGCCCCTATTATTATCGTTCAGTTTTTTCTTTCTTTCTTTCTTTCTTTCTTCCGTAACTTTTTTCGTCGAGCCGTTTGAGAAAACTGCTGAACCAAATAGTTTGAAAATGCTCTATAATGATAGGCTCTACTATGAACTGGTGCAACATGCTTTCAGAATTTTGATTGGCCAATTAGTTTGGCAGCCATATTGGATTGAAATAAAACCGGAAGTGGCTGTTTGACCACTTTCTGAGGGTCTAGGTGTCTAGATTTTTTTTATGGTATATAGTACAACTCATGTGTAATAAATATCAGCAATAAAAACTTTAGCGGTCATGTGACTTTTCCCGCCATTTTGTTTTTCCTAAAAACGGCAAAAAACACTTAAAAATCTTCTTCTTCAGAACCACCAAGTAGA